GTTGCTCCCCATACTCTTCCAGTCCAGCTCTCTGCTGTGACCTGGGAGTGCAGTGGAGGATGGCCCGAGTCCTTGGGCCCTGCACGGGAGGACCAGGAGAAGCACCTGGCTCCTGGCTTCAGATCGGCGCAGTGCACTGGCCACAGCAGCCATTGGAGGGTGAACCAACGGAAAAGGAAGACCTTTCTCTTTGTCTCTCTCTCTCACTGTCCACTCTGCCTGTCAGAAATAATAATTTAAAAAAAAGAAGTAAACATAAAAAAAGATTTTCTCGTTTTCGGTGAATCTAATCATGAAATTTAACTTGTAGGGGGGCTGGTGCTGTGGCATAATAGGTTAAGCCTCCACCTACAGCGCTGGCATCCCACATGGGCACCAGTTCATGTCCTGGCTGCTCCTCTTCCTGTCTAGCTCTCTGCTATGGCCTGGGAAAGCGGTGGAGGATGGCCCAAGTACTTAGGCCCCTGCACCCACGTGGGAGACCCGGATGAAGCTCCTGGCTCCTGACTCTTGGCTTTGGATGGGCGCAGCTCTGGCCGTTGTGGCCAGACAGAATAGCTCTCTCTGTATATCTCCCTCTCTCGGTCTGTAGCTGTGCTTCTAAAATAAATGAATAATCTTAATAAAAGAGAGAGAAATTTAACGAGTATAGTTTTCTTCGCTGGTCTTGTGCTTGAGTCCCCGGAACTGGGGCTGTGTCTGTAGTGATCGCTGAGCTTGGAGACGCTTTGGCAGTTGTCCCCAGCATGGTGTCTGCTCCGCTCCTCCTCCTCTGGAGCTCAGATGCTGTGTGGCCCGTGGCAGCTGTTCTACAGCTCGTGGAGGCAAGAGGGCTGGTGTTTCCTCGGAGTCTTTCAGACAGTGTCAGCTGTTTTGATCTTCAAGTTCGCAGTGTTTTCTTCCGCCATCTCACCTGGATGAATCCTGTATGCTTGGTGTGTTCATCTCAAACGTCGTGGTTTTCATCTCCTTTTAAAATCTCTTCATTGTCTCTACTTAATTTTTTTTTTTTAAGATGTTACTTATTTATTTGAGAGGCAGAGTGACAGACAGCGGGAGAGTCAGAGAGAGATTTTCTATCTGTTGGTTCACTCCTCAAATGGCCACAAAGGCCAGCGCTGGGCCAATCTGAAACCAGGAGCAAGGAGCCTCCTCTGGGTCTCCCGTGTGTGTGCATCTTCGCTGCTGTCCCAGGCCACAGCAGAGAGCTGGGTTGGAAGTGGAGCAGCTGGGGCATGCAAACCAGCACTCATAGAGGTGCCAGCACTGTAGGAGGAGGCTTAACCTGCTACACCACAGTACCAGCTCCTCTACTTAATTTTTTATGACTTTTAAAAAAATTTATTTATTTACTTGAAAGAGTTACGAAGAGTGAGGAGAGACAGATACAGAGATCTTCCATCTGCTTATTTACTCCCCAGTTTGCCATAATGACTAGGGCTGGGCCAGGCCAGAGCCAGGAGCTTCTTCTGGGTCTCCTACATGGGTGCAGGGGCCCAAGCACTTGGGCCACCCTCGGCTGCTTTCCCAGGCCATAGCAGAGAGCTGGATCAGAAGTGGAGCAGCTGGGACTAGAACCAGCGCCCATATGGGATGCTGGCACTGCAGGCCATGGCTTAACCAGCTGTGCCACAGCGCTGGCCCCAACTTTTTATGACTTTTATTTTATTTATTTATTTTTTTGACAGGCAGAGTGGACAGTGAGAGAGAGAGACAGAGAGAAAGGTCTTCCTTTTGCCATTGGTTCACCCTCCAATGGCTGCCGTGGCCGGCACGCTGCGGCGGGCGCACCGCGCTGATCCGATGGCAGGAGCCAGGTACTTCTCCTGGTCTCCCATGGGGTGCAGGGCCCAAGCACTTGGGCCATCCTCCACTGCACTCCCTGGCCACAGCAGAGAGCTGGCCTGGAAGAGGGGCAACCGGGACAGAATCCGGTGCCCCAACCAGACTAGAACCCGGTGTGCCAGCGCCGCAAGGCAGAGGATTAGCCTAGTGAGCCGCGGCACCGGCCAACTTTTTGTGACTTTTAAAAAATATTTATTTATTTGAAAATCAGAGTTGCAGAGAGAGAAGGAGAGACAGAGATATCTTCCATCTGCTGGCTCACTCCCTCCAAATATGTTTTCATTTTATTTGAAAGTGACAGAGGCAGAGAGAGATCTTCCAACTGCTGGTTAACCCCAGCTGCTTGTCACGGTCAGGGCTGGTCCAGGCTGAATCCAGGAGCCAGGAACTCAGCCTGGGTCTCCCACTGGGCAGCAGGGGTCCAAGTACTTGAGTCACCACCTGCTGCCTCCCAGGTGTGCGTTGGCATTAGCAGAACTGGATTGGAGGCAGAGGAGCCACGGCGTACACTGGGCACCCTGACGTAGAATGTGAGTGTTTGGACGCTGCGCCAAATGCCCAGCCTCTGCTAAACACATGGCAATCAGAACCACTGCCTTTATGGCCCTGGGTGCTAGTTCTGTCACCTTTTGAAGTGTGATTCATTCTGGTTGCCTTTTCTTTTCATCATGGTTCCTTTAAACTTACTTGTTTGAGAGGCAGAGACAGACCAACAGCTCTCATCCACTGGTTCCCTCCCCAAGTGCCTGCAGAGGCTGAAACTGTGCTGAGCTGAAGCCGGGAGCTTTGACCTCATCCAGGCCTTCCGCGGGAGTGGCAGGAGCCTGGTTTCTTGTGCCAACTCCACTGCCTCTGAGAATCCTCACTAGCAGGGGCTGGAGGCAGCAGCTGGAGCCTGGTGTTGAACCCAGGCGCTGCAGCATGGGATGTGAGCGCCACGACTGGCGTCTTAACCACCGGGCCAGGCACCTGTGTCACGGTCGTGTCTTCTTCATTCTTTGCAGAGAATTCTTAATTCTTTCCTTCCCCACTACCTCGAGCCCTTCCGGGGCGTCTTTCCTGGTCGTGGGCAGTCTCCTCCCGGCCGTGTGTTGCCGCTCGTCTGCAGCTCTCCTCGGTGCCGGCTGCGTGGGTCCCACCTGTGCCGAGCCAGTGAGCGCCCCTGTTCTCAGCTCTCAGCGCGCCCTGGCCTCTGCTGCCTGAGGCGGTGTCGTGAGCATCACTCTTACGGCTGTCGGCTAATTCAGTTCCTGTGCCCCATCTTGGCTGGAATTGGAAGTGTCAGCTGATGTTTGTCCGGGTACACTCTGCAGGAGGCGCTGTCCCAGACTGCACCCAGCAGTAAATACTCAGGGCCCTGCTCTCAGGCCGTGCAGGGTGGCCAGCGTCTGAGCACTGCCTCCAGGGAGGGCCGCGACCCCGGGCAAGCCACGCCCCGTCTCTGACGCAGTGAGCGCTGACTTGTACGGAGCATTGGTGTTGATGAGGAGAAAGGGGCCCTCCTGTCCAGAGAACCTCCCTCCCTACAGCAGTGGGCAGCACCACTTGCTGTCGGCTGCGGGTAAAGGTCTAAGGTTTTCCTTTCGCTGCAGGACTTCCTGCAGAGCTTGGCTTCCCTTCATGCTGATTTTCCACACCTGCCTCCCAGGACGGTGAAACTGACCCGCCGCGGGGCAGGAGAGACTAAACCTCCGGGGTGAGCGCCCGTGAGTGTGGTGCTCCTGGAAAGCCGGTGGGCAGAACCTCACCGGGGCCCGTCGGGGACTTGCAGCTCATTCTAGAAGCCAGTGGGTCCCGGGGAAGTCCACGCGCACCGTCCCCGTGGTTTCAGGCTTGTTTATGGTTCTACAGAACCAGCAGCCAGAGAGGAGGGCCCGAGGCCGGGAGCTGGTTCTTGAGGAGTTGTGACAGCGCCTCCTGCCATAAGGACAGGAGCAGAGCACACAGGACGGTCCCCGGGAGGACAAGAACCGGAGGGAGTTGCCAGTGCCCGTGGATCCTCACCACGGGCACTGTGCCTGCTCTGAACTTTCCATCGCTCCCAGTTTTCCCTGCTGAAAGTGTGGTCATTGCATATTCAGCAAGTACAGTGGGAAACAGCAAACTCTTCCTGTCCTCGTAATTCTGTGGAATACGCGGCAGAGGTTCAAAAAGTAGAGTGACCTCAGAGACAAGGTGCCGTCTAATTTAAGCTGCCGTGACGTGGACTCGCGTGCAGGAAGTAAGTGTTCAGAACAGCCTGTTTTGTGGCGGGCGGGAGGAAGTGAGTGAAATAGAAGCTCTGTGTGTGGGGCCGGCCCTGGCCGCAGCCGAGCGGGAGTTTCACAAGCTTCCCCTCCCGCGGTGCCCCTGGGAGCCGGGGACCATCGTCTCCATCTTGCAGATGGGTGCAAAGGGGCCTGTCCCAGGTCGCATAGCTGAGGACGGGCAGGGTCTCCCTCGGGTTGACCGCCTTGCCCTTCTCCATCTGGGACTGGCCCTGACAAAGCTGCCCTCCCCTGACCCCGCGACGCGGGGCTGTGCCCCTGCCTCTGCACACGGGTAAGCCGAGGTTCAGAGACGCCGAGGGCTTTGCCCTGGGTGCCCCTTCGCTGGCAGCCTGCCGACCGCCGGCTCCAGCCCTGGCTGTGCTGATTCCGCTGTGGGGCCAGGCCTGGAGTCCCCTCTGTGGGTGGGCTTCAGAAGGGCTGGTTTCACATGGCGCCCCCTGGGGATGTCCCTCCCTGACAGGACACACACGGGATGGCCCAGGCCTGTCCTGTGAGTAAAAGCAGCATAGCTGTGTTTGCACCCTGTTCTCAGGAATACCTGGGCAGGGGTGCAGAGAGATGTAGTCACTGCGCACGGGCTACAGGGAGCCTTGGTGCTGGTCAGGAGGCGGGTGGGCACCGCTTCTGCTGAAGAGCTGCTGCAAAGGGTGCTGGGAAACCTGCTGCTTCCAGTCGCGGAGTGATGTGCCCGTGGGGAGCCCTGGAGAACACGCAGCAGCTCCGGGGGAGGGCAGGCTGCCGCCACCCTCTGGACACTGCGGGGTTGGAGTCCTCTTCCCAGCTGCACCGCAGGCGCAGGTGTCACAGCGGCGTCGGAGGGTCGTGTGTGTCCTCCGGTGGAGCGTGACAGCCACCAGGTGGGCGTGTGCTTCCTCTGTGTTTCAGGACAACGTGTTAAACATCATCAACCAGATCATGGACGAGTGCATCCCCCAGGACCGCGCCCCCCGGGATTTCTGCGTTAAGTTCCCCGAGGAGATCCGGCACGACAACCTGGCCGGCCAGCTGTGGTTTGGCGCCGAGGTAGTGGCCTGGGATCCAGGGTCCTAAAGCTGGGTGTTAGCGTTTCCCTGCGAACCTGGTCAGCGGGGCAAGCGCGGGACCTGGTGTCTCCCCCGGGAGGCACAGGGCCAAGCGCGGGACCTGGTGTCTCCCCCGGGAGGCACAGGGCCAAGCGCGGGACCTGGTGTCTCCCCCGGGAGGCACAGGGCCAAGCGCGGGACCTGGTGTCTCCCCGGGAGGCACAGCTGGAGCAGCCTGAGCAATCCTTGCAAGTTCCAGAAAAGCCGCGAGCCTGGGCCCCCGAACTGCACGTGCCAGGGAGGTTCTCCACGCGGCTTTCACGAGGTTCTTGGACCGCTTACATCGGTGCCACATCTCACCGTAGTCCTTCAGATTTCTCTTTTTCTTAAGGTTTATTATTTATTCTTTGAAAGAGAGAGAGGGAGAGACAGAGAGCTTCCATCCGCTGGTTCACTCCCCAGATGGCCGCAGTCACCAGGGCTGGGCCAGGCCGGCGCCAGGAGCCAGGAACTCCATCCGGGTCTCCTGCATGGGTGGCAGAGGCCCGGCGCTTGGGCCATCTTTCCAAGGCTGCTTTCCTAGGGAGCTGGATCCTAAGTGGAGCAGCCGGGACGTGAACCAGCGCCCATATGGGACGCCTGCGTCACGGGCAGCAGCTTTACTGGCCATGTCCCAGGGCTGGCCCCGGTCGTGTTCCAGTGAGGAAACTGGGGTACCAAAAGGAAGATGACGCCCCTGGGAGGTGGCGGGACCCTGAGGACACCCCAGACCCCTGCCCTTGGTCCCTCTGGGAGATGGTGGGGACTCGGGGTCTGACTGCAGCCCTGACAGCGTGCTGTCCCCGTCCTCCCTGCCTGACCTCTCTGTGAGTCTCTGGAATGCCTGAGCTTTACCTGAACTGCCTGGCCCCGTGCCCCATTTTATCCTGGCCCCTGCACTGATGGTTGCACTCGTCCTTCCTCCCAGCCTCAGTGTTTGCCTCTGTAAAGTGGGCCTGGAGGGCAGCTGCCTGCTGGCCTGGTGGGCACTTGTGCTCAGGGGCTGCCACCTGCTGTCACATCTCTGGCACCTGCAGGCCCCACACTGTCCTCAGGGCTCCTGGGAGGTCAGCAGCCTCCTCTGTCACCCACAAATTTGCCTCTCACCCTGCTCCGCCGGCCAGCCATGGATGGGGGTTGCCTGGAGGGTTGGCTTTATCCAGCCTGGTGAGGCCTGGCCCGGGATGAGCACCCACATCCTGACAGCCCCGCTCGGGCTCTGTGTCACCGCACATACACGGGGAGCTGCCTCTCATACCCAGGCAGCTGTGGGTGGTCTCTAGGTACAATGGGGGACCTGCCAGGGGCTGGTGACTCTGAGCTGATGAACCTCTGTTCTAAGGAAAGTGGTGCTGACAGGAGCTGTCTGTGACTCCCAGGAAGTCACAGCCCTGAGTGTCGTGTCTGGGATCATTGACATGGGGGTCCCCAGCGTGGAGACCCCAGACCCAAGGGCCTCACATTGACCCTCCCCCAGCCGCCTGGGCCATGGTAAGAGACACTTGTCCCTGCCGTGATTGCTCTGAACTGGACAGAACCCTCCTGAGAGGGCCCAGGGATAGGTGCCAGGTCCTGGCCCAGAGAGGGGAGCTGGGCACGGAGACCAGGGGCACCCCCTGAGCATACCGCCCCCCCCCCCGCCGTGGCCGCTCCTGAGGGCGTCCTCCCGCCCACAGTGCCTGGCTGCTGGCTCCATCATCATGAACCGCGAGCTGGAGAGCATGGCCATGCGGCCGCTGGCCAAAGAGCTGACCCGCAGCCTGGAGGAGGTGCGCGGCGCCCTGCGCGACCAGGCGCTGCGGGACCTCAACGCCTACACCGAGAAGATGCGGGAGGCGCTGCGGCACTTCGACGTGCTGTTTGCGGAGTTCGAGCTGAGGTGACGTGGAGGCCCCGGTGTGCGCTGTGCCCTGGGCACTGGGTGACGGAAGCTCTCGGGGCAGGAGCCGGGCTGGCGCGGAGCTCAGGGTGGGAGTGAGGGGTCCAGGCCCTCGGGAGCCCCAGGAGAGGCCCAGGCCCCCTGCGATGTGTTCGCAGGGGCAGTGCCACTCACGGCCCGTGAGAGAAAGCAGGATCTCCGTTAACGAGCATCGTCAACCGCTAGAGGAAAATCAGCCAAAATGTCAGAGAGACTCTGGGCAGTGCGAGTGCGAGCACAGAGCTCCAGGTCTCTCTCGCCCCGTCTTCTCCAGGTCCCACGGCAGCTTTCACGAGAAAGTCAGAGGGGTTTAGGTGGGAAGACGGCACTGTCGGAATGGCTGGCCGCCTGTCGCTTCCCTGCCGCCCTCGGGCGGGCTCCACAGCTGCCGAGGGCCGCGAGCTGGCGCCGCCCGTGCTGGGGCGCCCGGGGTGGCTCACCAGGAAGTCTGTGCAGGGTGGGGAGCGGCACCGCTCCCAGGCGGTCGTAGCGCAGTGGGGCAGGGCTGTGGCGGTCCCAGGGGGCCTGGCCTAGCCCGCCTTGCAGGAGCTTTGATGGGAAGGATCTGTTGGAAGCCCAGGTTGTGCATTTGGTGCCGAGCCAAGGGCCTGGTGCAGCGTGGCAGCATCAAGGCGCCCCTCGTCCTGACGCCCCTCACCGTGTCTGCAGCTACGTCTCGGCCATGGTGCCCGTGAAGTCCCCCAGGGAGTACTACGTGCAGCAGGAGGTCATCGTGCTGTTCTGCGAGACGGTGGAGAGGTGAGCAAGGGCCTGGCCGCCCGGGGAACGCGCCCTGTCCAGGCGCCATTGCCCTCCACCCAGGTGCCTTCTGCCCCCCACATCTGCCCGGCCCCATCTCTCAGCCCACAGCCCCTGCCTCTGCGCCCTCGGGGTGGATCCCACAGTCACCTCCTCACTGTCACAGCTCATTCCCTCACCCCTCACCTCCTCTCCCTGCATCTCCACATCGCCTCACCCCTCACCTCTACATGTCCTCACCTCCTCACTCCATACCTCCTCACCCTTTACAATCTCACTCCTCACCCCTCACCTCCTCACCCCTCACCTCCTCACCTCCCCTCTCCTCACCCCTCACCTCTACATCTCACCTCCTCACTCCATACCTCCTCACCCTTTACAATCTCACTCCTCACCCCTCACCTCCTCACCTCCCCACCCCTCACCTCCCCTCTCCTCACCCCTCACCTCTACATCTCACCTCCTCACTCCATACCTCCTCACCCTTTACAATCTCACTCCTCACCCCTCACCTCCTCACCTCCCCACCCCTCATCCCGCCTCCTCACTTCCCCTCTCACCTCCCCTCTCCTCACCCTTTATCTCCTCACCCTTCACCTCCTCACCCCTCCCCTCATACCTCCCCTCTCCTCACCTCCTCACTTTTCACCTCCCCTCTCCTCACCTCTCGCCCCTCACCTCCTCACCTCTCACCTCCCCCCTCTTCACCTCCCCTCTCACCTCCCCTCTTCTCACCCTTTATCTCCTCACCCCCTCACCCTTCATCTCCTCACCTCCTCACCCCTTACCTTCTCACCTCTCACCTCCTCACCTCTCACCTCCTCACCCCTCCCCTCTCCTCACCTCCTCACTTCTATTGTCCCTCACCTCCTCACCTCTCACCTCTCACCCCTCACCCCTCACCCCTCCCCTCCCCTCTCCTCACCTCACTGCTGTCGTCCCTCACCTCCGCAGGCTGGGATGCAGTGGGGTTTTGTGCCTGATGAAGAGAATTTGGGGTGAATCATCAGTGTTCTGTCAGGCACGTGCAGTAATTTGAAGTCAGGGTTTTGGACTGGCTTTGGCCCTAAAGTGTAACCTAGAATGTTTCTGCACTGTAACTTGTGCCGTAGGCTTAGGTAAATCTTGAAATTGACTAATATTACATTAAGTGCTTTTTGAATTAAACAGAGCCACGCTCCTAGCCTGTTTATTTGAGAGGCACAGTAACACACACACACACACACAGACACACATCTTGGATCCACCTGTTCACACCTCAAATGCCCACGACAGCTGGAACTGGGTCAGGCTGAAGTCAGGAACCTGGGCCTCCCTACAGGTCTCCCGCAGGGGTGGCAACTCCTTGCTCCATCTCCGGCTGCCTCCCAGGGCGCGCTTTGGCAGGAAGCTGGAATCGGAATAGGGAGTGGGACTGGAATCTGAACCCCGCGTCCTTAAGAGGGGCGCAGGCATCGCAAGTGGTGTCCGACGGCTGTGCTAAACACTGCTTAGCCTTTACACGTTACATCATTGTGCCAGAAAAGAGATGAGAAGTATGGTGCCTGCAGCGCCTGCCCGTGGGTGTGGAGAGAGGCCTTTGTGTTTGCCCAGGAGGGAAAGGGAATCCAGGTGCTCGGGGAAGCGTCCGCTCCTGTGGGGCCCACACTTCCTCTGACACTCGAGTTGTTTCGATGTCCTGGGTGACCTTTTATTTTGTTCTGGTGGACGTCGCAGCTGTCCTTACGCATTTCACTCACACCCTGCGTCTTCCGTCCTGCCTGGGGCAGTGAGGGGAGTGGGCAGGTGTCGAGCGCAAAGGTCGAGCAAGGCCGCCTCTGCCAAGGCCTCCAGGTGCCGGCTCCTGCAGCTCTGGCCTTGGTGCACTTGATGGGGACGGTGGCCTAGGTTGCTCTCTGGACCCGACTGAGCCTGCTGTCTGGCTCCCACCCCCGACTCAGGGCTGACCAGTGGAAGTGCTGGGGGCAGCCCTCACCCCGCTCGCTCTCTCTCCCCTGGCCAGGGCCCTGGACTTCGGGTACCTGACCCAGGACATGATTGATGACTACGAACCGGCCCTCATGTTCACTATCCCAAGACTGGCCATTGTGTGGTGAGTGCCCCCTTCCCCTGCCTGGGAAATGGTGGCCCTGACAGCTGGCTTAGCCACCTGCTGTCTGCCCTCAGCAAGTGAGGGGCAGCGTTCCAGGTGCCACGACTTGTCCTGCCCAGGACACGGGTGGCTGCACTCCTGCAGATACTGGACAGGGAAGGCGGCCAGCGGCGCGTTGGTCACAGACACTCGCGCCCAGAGTCCCCTGCACGTGCTGGGTCAGTGACCCCACCGGGCTGCGGGAGCTGGGGGCAAGGTGCACCTGGCTCCCGGGAGGACGCGTTGGTCCGTTGGAATGATTCAGAGCAAGCACTGCCTGACTCTGCAGGCGTTCCCAGAGCTGCTCTGACAGCGCCGTGCCCCGGCCGCTCCTTCCTTATTGGTCCTCTCCTCACAGAGCTGGCGGGGCTGGCAGGGAGGGAGGCCCAGGAGGCTGCAGCGCCTCTCGCTCTGGGTGGGGGCATAGCTGGGAGAGCCGGGAGCTCACAGGTGCCCCAGCAGCATAGGGATCTTAAATACATCGAGACAAGAAGAGCTTGTTCAGCTGGGACCAAGAGCAGAGCCTGGGGGTCTACTGCTGCCCCCACACCAAACTCAGACCGACCCTTCCTCCCTCCCCTCCTCCCTGCTCATCTCCCCTCGTGCCAGGCAGGCTGTCACGGGGGTGCGAGGGAAGTGTCATGGAGAGCTCTGTGGGGTGGCCCCGAGGGCAGCTGGCGTGCAGGGATGGCACTGGGGGTGGGGAGTTCTGTGGATGGAGGCCCATTGGAGACACGGATGTGGGGAAGGTGGAGAGGGCTCGGAGGCCAGCCTAGGGCCAGGCTCAGGCTGTGGACCACCAGGGGCCCTGTGGAAGGGGAGTGAGACACACGCAGTGGTGTGCAGGGGTGGCACTGGGGGTGGCTAGACCCTGCCTCCCACTGAGGAACAGGGAACAGAGTTGCAGCCTGGTGCAGTGGGACAGGGCCAGCGCCCAGGGCCAGCGAGGTGGGGCACTGGGCATGAATCCCCCCTGGCCCCAGGCCAGGCCATTTGCTCACCTGGGTCCTCAGAGGCACCTTCTCATGGGGTCTCCCCGGTGGTCTTTGGATGCTAACTGGGCTGGGGGCTTTCCCAAACCCCTCAAGCAGCCAGTGTCCCTGGCTTGATCCTTCTGTCACCTCCCGTTTCCCCACAGAGCGGGGCAGGGCAGTGGTAAGCTTCACCGGAAGACGCAGGAGTCAGGGGTCAGGGAGTCTCCAGCGGCCAGCGCGGCGTCTGCTCGGGGTGGCACATCCTGCTTGGCGTGACACCTCTCGACTGGGATGCAAACATCTCTCTGTGGCCACTCGACTTGCATAGCAAGGCTGGTCAGGGCCTTGGTGCCGCTGCCCTGGGGGCGGGAGGCGAGCTTTCCTTGAAGAGCAGGGCCGCTTGGCCCCCTTCGTCTGCCCTGAGGTCAGCTGCTGCTTCCAGGACACACTGCAATCCCTGCCCCTCTCTTTTGTTGAAGAAGATAACTGGGGCCACCTGTGACACTGGCGTCCTGTATGGGTCCTGGTTCAAGTGCCAGCCGCTCTGCGTCCAGTCCAGCTCCCTGCTGTGGCCTGGGAAGGCAGTGGAAGATGGCCAAGTGCTTGGGCCCCTGCACCCATGTGGGAGACCTGGGTGGAGCTCCCGGCTCCCAGCTTCTGCTTGGCCTAGGCCTGGCGGATGTGGCCATTTGGGAAGTGAACCGCAGATGTAAGAGTCTCACCCTCACTCTTTCTCTGCCTCTCTGTTACTCTGCCTTTCAAATAAACAAAATAAATCTCTTTTTAAAGATAAATTTATTTATTGTTTAATTTATTTGGAAGACAGAGAGTTCCCCTCTGCCGATTCACTCCCTGAATACCTGCCACAGCCAGGCTGGGCCATGCCAAAGCCAGGAGCCTGGAACACAATCCAGGTCTTCCTTGTGGATGGCAGGGACCCAAGTACCTGTGCCATCACCTGCTGCCTCCCATGGGGCACAGTGGCAGGAGGCTGGACTTGGAAGCTGAGTCAGGACTTGAACCCAGACCCTCGAATCGCGTGCAAGCCTCCTAAGGCACGCAGCACTCACTCGCTCATCTCCCGTGGGGGTTCACAGCCTGCTTTCCCCTGGAAGGCCTGCAGGGCAGAGCAGGGCAAGCCACCATTCTCCGTTCTGGGGTGTGTGTGGTCCCCCTCCCAGTCAGACAGAGGGAACCTGTGAGAACCCCCTGGGGCAGCCTCCAGGGCTCTCTGCGGTAGCGTGCCAGATTCGGAACGAGCACGCGGGCAGGCGGCTGGCTGCCGTGCGCGGTGGTCTGACTTTCCCTGCTGCAGCCGGGTGCCTGTGTGTGTTCAGCTTCTCCTCGGCCTCCCCAGCGCCACTGGCGCCCGTGTGTCCTGTGTGCTGCCCACATGATCCGCCCTTCTGCCACCCGAGCTTTTGCTCCTTCCGTCCTGTCTGGGTCAGGAGCCCACCAGGGAGCCCTCATCTGGGAGGCAGAGTGAGGGCTGGGCCCCTGAGGGCGGGGGCTTTGTCCTCCCGTCGGTGGGAGCTTAGATCTCCCGTGTGCTGATTCACTCCCCAAATGCCTGGAACAGCCAGAGCTGGGCTAGACTGAAGCCAGCAGCCAGGAGCTCCTTCCACACCTCCCACTTGGGTGACAAGAACCCGAGTGTTTGGGTTACCCCTGCTGCCTCCCAGGGCGTGCGTCAGCAGGGAGCTAGAATGGAGAGTGGAGCTGGGACTTAATCTGGGCGCTCCCAGTATGGGACAGAGGTGTCCCGAGCGGTGGATAGACCGGCGCACCAGATGGTCACCCCTTAGTGCTGTTTTAAACAAGAGGGTTGAAATAACATTCAAAAGAACAGACCCTTGGGATAAGTTTATCCAAGGAGGTGAAAGACGTGGACTCTTAACACGAAAACATTGCTGACAAAATGAAAGACGTCATTAAGTAGACATTGCTTGTTCCTGGATTGGAAAACCTGATAGAGTTAGGATGGCTGTAGTCCCCAAAGTGACCTACAGGTTCCCTGGAATCCCTGTCAAAACTGCACTGTGTGTGTGCGTGCGTGTGCGTGTGCGCGTGTTTACTTTCACAGAAGTGGAGAAGCCGTTCCTGAAATTCGTGTGGAACCGCAGCAGGTCCTGAGTAGCACCCCCACACGCACACAGCACGGTGGCGCTGGCAGGACAGTTCTGTAGGCCAGCACGGCAGGCCTGGGGGCCAGGAGAAAGCCCCAGCGGCGGTGGCCGCCTGCTCCCTGACAAGGGCGCCACAGGCATCTGGAGAGGAGGGAACTGTGTGTTCAGCAAATGTCGCCGCACGCCTGGACGGCCACACACACAAGAGCAAAGCTGAACTCTGCAGTGGTTCCTTTTGTGTCGACTTGGCCAGGCCACGAGGCCCGGCCACGGGGTCACGTACCAGTCTGGGTGTTGCTGTCAAAGTATTGTAAAGCTGGCGTCAACGTTTACGTCGGTAGTCGGCGAGAACAGCTGGTAGCCCTCCATGCTTAAGGCCCTGGAGACAGCTGATGTGGCAGAGAGGGCACTCCGCCTCCGCTTGCCTTCGTGCGTGAGCTGCAGCCCCAGCTCCGCCCAGCTCCACCCAGCTCCGCCCCACTCCGCCCAGCTCCATCCAGCTCCACCCAGCTCCGCCCAGCCTGCTCGCCGGGGTTGGACTCACAGCCCCACAGTGGCTCGAAGCGGGTCCTTCCAGCCGGTCCCTGTCTCTGTCCTCTGTCCCTCTGGACCCCTCTGAGGAAATCTTCAGGTTGTCAGACTTGGTGATAGGTTCTTAGATTTGACACCAGAAGTGCTAACATAAAGAGAAAAAAATGGATAAACTGGACCTCACCAAAATTATTTTTTTTTATTTTATTATTTTTTTTAATTTTTTTGACAGGCAGAGTGGACAGTGAGAGAGAGAGACAGAGAGAAAGGTCTTCCTTTGCCGTTGGTTCACGCTCCAATGGCCGCCGCGGCCGGCGCGCTGCGGCCGGCGCACCGCGCTGATCCGATGGCAGGAGCCAGGAGCCAGGTGCTTCTCCTGGTCTCCCATGGGGTGCAGGGCCCAAGCACCTGGGCCATCCTCCACTGCACTCCCTGGCCATAGCAGAGAGCTGGCCTGGAAGAGGGGCAACCGGGACAGAATCCGGCGCCCCAAACCCAGTGTGCCGGCGCCGCTAGGCGGAGGATTAGCCTAGTGAGCCGTGGCGCCGGCCTGGACCTCACCAAAATTAAAGCTTGGACAACTGGAGGTTAGCCGAACAGTTAAGATGCTCGTGTCCGGGGGCTGCCGTGGTGCAGTGGGTTAAGCTGCTGCCTGTGGTGCCAGCGTCCCCTGTGGGCACTCCTGGCTGTTCCACTTCAGATCCAGCTCCCTGCTAATGCGTCTGGGGAAGCAGTGAAGGACGGCCCAAGTGCTTGGGCCCCTGCACCTGTGTGGGAGACCTGGATCAAGTTCCTGGCTCCTGGCTCCAGCTTCGCCTAGGCCTGACTGTTGTGGCCATTTGGAAAATGAACCAGCAGATGGAAGATTCGGCCAATCCCCCCTGGACACCCCTACCCCCACCACCAATAACTAACTATGCCTTTCAGGTAAATAAAATAAATCTTAAAGATAGATACCAGTATTCAACATCACAGCACCTGGGTTCAATTCCCAGCTCGCTCTCTCTTTTTTTAAGAGTTATTTATTTATTTGAGAGGCAGAGGTAGTCAGAGAGAGATAGACAGATCTTCCACCCGCTGGTTCACTCCCCCAAATGGCAACAATGGCTAGAGCTGGGCCAGGCCAACGCCAGGAGCTTTTTCTGGATTTCCCACGTGGATGCAGGGGCCCAAGCACTTGAGCCGCTGCTTTCCCAGGCCGCAGCAGAGAGCTGGATCGGAAGAGGAGCAGCTGGGATGCCAGCCATCGCCCATACGGGATGCTGGCACTGCAGGCAGCGGCTTAGCCTACTATGCCACAGTGCCGGCCCCCAGTTCCCAACTCTTGAGCCCTGATTCTGGCTTCCTGCTAATGCAGGTCTGGGAGGCAGTGGTGGTGATTCAAGTGGTTGGATTCCTGCCACCCATGTGGGGCATCTGGATTGAGTTCTCCTGTTCCTGGTGTTAGCCCTGGCCTAGCCCCAGCCATGGCATTTAGGGAGTGAAACAGTGGCTGAGAACTTTCTCTCCCCCTCTCTAAAGCATTTCTTTTAATTTAAGTAAAAAATGTGTGTGTCATTCACAAAAGTGAAAAGTCAGCCTAAAGAATGTGAGAAAATACGTAAATAATGTATCTGATAAAGGGTTTAGAATGCAGAATATAGAAAGAACCAGAGAGGTCCGGCGCTGTGGTGTAGCTGCGGTGTAGCGGGTAAAGCTGCCGCCTGCAGTGCCGGCATCTCATATGGGCACTGATTCGAGTACCGGCTGTTCTACTTCTGATCCAGCTCTCTGCTGTGGCCTGGGAAAGCAGTGGAAGATGGCCCAAGTGCTTGGGCCCCTGCACCCATGTGGGAGACCCAGAAGAAGCTCCTAACTGGTGGCTTTGGATTGGCACAGCTCCAGCCATTGTGGTCATTTGGGGAGTGAACCAGTGGTTGGATGACCCCCCTCTCTCCCTGCCTCTGCCTCTCTGTAACTGCCTTTCAAATAAATAAATACACCTTAAAAAAAAAAAAAAAAAAAAAAAAGGACACCCAGTTTAAAAATGGGTACAGACTTGAGCTGGCATTTTTCTTGAGACTTACTGATTTGACAGGAAAAGGGTGGGGAGAAACAGGAAGAGAAATCTTCTGTCTGCTGGGTCATTCCCCAGATGGCTGCAGTGGCCAAGACTGGGCCTGGCCGAAGTCCAGAGCCACGGACTCCAATCTCTTGGGCCATTTTCCGCTGCTTTCCCAGGCCATCAGCAGAGAGCTGGGAGCGGGCCTGGCACTCCAAAATGGGAAGCCGGCATCACAGGTGGTGGTTTAACCCACTGTGCCACAGTGCCGGCCCCCTGAACTGTGTTCATAGGAGACACCTGAAAGATGCTGCCCGTCTGGCAGTTAAGGAAATGGAAATCAAGACCACAGGGAGGCCGGCGCCGCGGCTCACTAGGCTAATCCTCCGCCTTGCGGCGCCGGCACACCGGGTTCTAGTCCCGGTCGGGGCACCGGATTCTGTCCCGGTTGCCCCTCTTCCAGGCCAGCCCTCTGCTGTGGCCAGGGAGTGCAGTGGAGGATGGCCCAGGTGCTTGGGCCCTGCACCCCATGGGAGACCAGGAAAAGCACCTGGCTCCTGGCTCCTGCCATCGGATCAGCGCGGTGCGCCGGCCGCATCGCGCTGGCCGCGGCGGCCATTGGAGGGTGAACCAACGGCAAAAGGAAGACCTTTCTCTCTGTCTCTCTCTCTCACTGTCCACTCTGCCTGTCAAAAAAAAAAAATAAAAAAATAAATTAAAAAAAAAAAAAAAAAAAGACCACAGGGAGACACTTCACACCCGCCCCGTGGCGGTCAGCCGGAATAGCGCGTGCTGGTGGGCATGTGGAGGAATAGGACCCAGCGCGTCTGGGAGCATTAGCAGAGCCGCCTGATCCGCGCGGCCTGCCACACACCCTCCCAGGCACGCGCCCACATCTGCCTGTGCACCAGAAGCCTGCACAGACGCTGTCACGGCAGCACTAGGCAGCCCGGATCCCAGGGCGAATGAGTAGACAGAGCACGTGTGTGCACAGTCGTAGGAGCAGCAGAGCGCTCACACCGCCACCTCACGATGGACCCTGGAAACCTCGCGCAGGGGCAGGAGCCCGGCCCCCGAGGTCGTGTGCCACGTGTTCTCACCCTGACGAGATGCCGAGACAGCACACGCGTGCAGACAGAGGCTAGAGCCCAGGTCGCCGGGGTGAGGACGACTACTTACAGAAATGGGGGATTCTGCTGGGGAGAATGGTTTGAACTAGAAACAGGCGATGGAGCGCCCCGTGGAGGCGCTCACTGCCACAGAGCTGTGGAGCGAGAGTGTCGTCTCAGTTCTCTAAAAGAGATTGGCCTCCCGCCCTTCCCGCAGGGGCCTGGCCACCCGCCCTGGCGCCCACCCGGTGCGCACATCCTCTCACCTGTTCACCTGGGCTGCACTGGGCCAGCCCCCACCGCGCCCTCCACGTGCCCTGCCCACACCCAGCCTCCGCGATCCACCTGCTGCCTGCCAGCCTCAGCTCCTCGGGGAGACTTGGGCCGTGGCCCGGGCCTGTCCTGAGCCATCAACAGTAGCTGTGGGTGGCAGCTCCGCCCCACCCAGCTGTTCTCTTCCACACTCATTCCCTGGCCTCATTCTTCAGCTGCCTCCCGGCCCCCAGCTGGGTTTCTGCAGATGCTGGGGCGCAGGGACACTGCATCCCCGTTGTCCTCTGTGCTCCAGTACCTGGGCCAGCCGGACACTGACTTGGACCTGGAGACAAGCCTCGCCCTCCTGCTCAGGACACAGCCGACTGCCCTGCGTCTTCTCTGCCCAATATGGCAGCACAGCCCATGTTTTCCTGGGGTTTTGAATCTTCTTTTTGTACCTGAGATCCAATCTTAGGGACAGCCAGTCCCTTATTCAGTTCTTGTTAAAAAACGTTTATTTATTTTCATTTTATTTGGAAGGCAGAGAGAAAGAGACAGAATCTTTTATCTGCTGGTTCACTTCCCAAATGCCTACAGCAGCTGGGGCTGGTCAGGCAGGAGTCGGGACTCTGTATCTCCCATGTGGGTGGCAAAGAGTCAAGTACTTAAGCCATCACCTGCTGCCCCCCAGGGTGCACATGGCGGGAGGCTGGATCAGAGCAGAGCCGGAACTCTGACACGGGATGCAGCCACCCCACGTGGTGTCTACACCACTGCTGCAGACACCGGTCGCTTCATTCAGTCCTGGTGATGCCTTTTTCTTTTTTAAAGATTTATTTATTTATTTGAAAGAGTTACAGAGAAGGAGATACAGAGGCAGAGAGAGATCTCCCAGCCCCTGGTTCACTCCCCAGATGGCTGCAACAGTCAGGACTGGGCCAGGCTGAAGCCAGGAATTTCATCTGGGTCTTCCATGTGGTGCAGGGACCCAACCCCTTGGGCCATCTTATGCTGCTTTCCCAGGCGCATCAGCAGAGAGCTGGATCAGAAGTGGAGCAGCCAGGGCTTGAACCGGTGTCCATATGGGATGCTAGTGCTGCAGGCAGTGGCTTTACCTGCTATGCCACAGCACCAGCCTCCCCTCCCCCTCTTTTGTTAAAGATTTATTTATTTGGGGCTGGCACTGTGCCAAGCAGGTAAAGCTGCCACCTACAGTGCTGGCATCCCATATGGACACCAGTTCAAGTCCTGGCTGCTCCACTTCTGATCCAGCTCTCTGCTATGCCCTGGAAGGGCAGTAGAAGATGGCCCAAGTCTTTGGGTCCCTATACCCAAGGGGGGACCTGGAGAAAGCTCCAGACATTGCAGCCATCTAGGGAGTGAACCAGTGGATGGAAGACGTTCTCTCTGTTTCTCTCTGTCTGCCTCTGCCTCTCTGCAACTCTTTCAAATAAGAAAATAAATCTAAAAATATTTATTTATTCTGGAGGTAGATTACAGACAGACAGAGGGAGAGACAGAGGGTCTTCCATCGATCCCTTTTCCTTACTGTGCTGGATGTGTAGACAAGAACCCTGTTCCAGAGCGGATACTGTTGGGAGGTGACTGGGCATCTGGGCTGCCCGGTCCTGTGACCAGGCCGGAGGGCCCCGCAGAGGTCCTCGGGTCGCCGCTCTCAGGGAGAGGGCAACACGGTGGAAAAGGCTCTCTCAGGGCCAGCAGGCGTCCGGTGGTGCTGAAGTGGAATCGGGCCTCCGGGAGGAGCACCTGAGCAGCGTTGAGCTGGACGCTGGGTTCCTGCTGGCGGGGACGGCCTGTCCTGGGCAGGGAGCGCCTCTCCAGGCGTGGTGGGCACCCTGGAGGGCCGGTCAGTCCTGGCTGGTGGGAGCACACATGCAGGGGCCCTGTTTGCACTGTAGCCCACGCTGTGCCTTTGGGTAGTGGGCAGTTTCAGGGCCAATTCTCAGAGCCCCCGTAGATAAATTTAACCGCCAATCCTGCCTTTTCCGTTTTCAGGGAGGTTGATTTTAGTAACAAGTCTGGATGCTAATTTATCTGATTGCAGCACTGATGTACTCAGATTTTTATGATAATTTCATGATCTCTCCAGTGAACGTAAGATAAGCAGCCGCAGCAGATGAAGTCTGGGTAATACCTTTTATGTCCTAAACTTACCAAAGCGTCGGTTGCCAGGGCAAACAGTGAGAACTCCCCAGACAGTGTGACCCAAGCTGGGGTTCCCAGGCTAGCTGGAGCACCGGACACCTCACCACACTGGCTTTTGTGTCTCAAATGCAGTGGCCTTGTGGTCTATGCGGATGGACCCTTGAACTTGGACCGAAAGGTAGAAGACATGTCCGAGCTGTTCCGGCCCTTCCACACGCTGCTGCGGAAAATCAGGTGGGGGGACAGGGAGGGGAGGGGTGTGGGGGGGCGTGGGAACCAGGTGCTCAGGCCAGTGTTGAGTCACCACCGGGTCCTCCTTGGCTGGCTCTGTTCCTCTGCTGTGCCGAGCCCTGGGTGTGGCAGACCCAGCACTACTCACGTTCAGCGCACCACACAGCTACTGCTTTCCCCTGTTCACCAACAGCCCCCAGACTCACCTCTGGTTAAGTCCCTGGTTTGTGTCTGTGTAGTCACATTGGCGTCCCTTTAAAACCGCGTGCCTTTCTGTCGGGTGAGTTAGGATCTCTGCCAGGCAGCTGCTCGGAGCTGACAGGCTGGCCGTGGCCTCCTGCAGGGGTGGGGGCACAGGGCTGTGTGTGTCCTGTGGGCGCCTTCCCGGCCCTGTGGCTCTGGATGCTTGGTGCCCTCCCCTGGCCCCTGGGATCCAGGAAGCCCCCTTCCCTGGGTGTTGGAGCAGATGACCCTCTCAGGGTCGTGGGACATCCTGAGGCCTCCCAAGAGCCTGCCTGGTGCAGGGTGGCCTCAGGCACACTGGCTGAAGCCAGGAATCCTCTGGGGACCCTGGGAGCTCAGACCCCTGCCCCACAGCAAGGCAGAAGCGTCTCAAGTCCAGACCCCAGCAGCTTCCCCCTTGGCCCTGTGGACACTGTCGAGCTCTTGGGGCCCCGGCAGTGGCCTTGGCGAGGCGTTGAGCTCAGGCTGGTCTGCTGTTCAGCTGGCTGATGGCTGTTGACCGCTTCCCTTGTCCTGTGGGGTTCCGGGACCCCTGGACTGGGGAGAGGAAACAACAGTGACCAAGGAGAGGAGGTGCCCAGTGCAGAGGTCCACGGCAGATGGGGCTTGTAGGAGGGGAGGAGGGGCAGGGCTTGGGCAGGGCGGGGTCTGGGGGGTCTGCACACAGCGCAGGCTGTGAAGAGAAAGCTTGGAGCCGCGGGGCTACGGAGGCAGAATGTCGGCAGGAAGAGGCCCTGGGCGCGGAGCCTTTCTCTAGTAGAGGGGGCTTCCCGGCCACGGGCACTTGGTTGTGGCCGCTTTTCTGTGGTGCAGGCCTGCAGGTGCCGTGGCTGTTGGAACGTGCCCCCTTTGTCTTGTGTCCTGACCCTCGCAGGGACCTGCTGCAGACTCTGACGGAGGAGGAGCTGCACACACTGGAGCGGAGCCTCTGCATTTCCCAGGACGCGGAGCTGCCCATCCGGGCCGACGCCTTCGCCGCCCCACTGCCCCCCGGGGAGCCCCTCACAGCCAAGGCCAAAAACCCAGAGGCAGAGCTGGCCTGCTCCATGCAGTATGATGACCAGGAGCTGGAGCAGCTCAGCCGCATGGTCCACCGGGCTGGGGACGAGATGTCGTCCCTGCTGTCCCCACCCAGCGCCTGCCAGTCCCCTGCGCACAGGCCGGGGGCCGAGGGCAGCCCCCACGCGGAGGCCTCTCCGGGCAGAGCGCGGCCGCGGCTGGGCAGCGACGAGGAGGAGCGAGTGTTCTTCATGGATGATGTGGAGGGCACCGGAGAGGCCCCACACAGCCCGCTTGGGTGGGCAGGCGGCGCCGGGGCCAGTCCCCGGGAGAGGGTGCCACGTGCCGAAGCAGGGGCCACGGACGAGGAGCTGGACTTGAGCAACAACAATGTCGAGGACGCCAAAGTGCGGGCAGCTGGCCTCTCGGGCTCCAACTCCTGCAGCTGCCTGGACTCGCAGCTGTGCCTGGACGGCTGGGAGGGGAGTGCAGACGACGCAGAGACAGCCGAGATGATTGCCCACCGGACGGGCGGCATGAAGCTCTCGGCCACCGTCATCTTCAACCCCAAATCGCCCGCCTCCTTGGACACCACTGCTGCCACCCGGGAGACCCCAGGCCGAGGCGCACCCTCAGCCGCTCCGGTGGCCGAGGGGACAGAGGGCAGTACCCACAAGCCCAGCACCACGGCCGCCAATGGCCTCCTCAACTCCTGCGTGTGCTGTGGGAGCTGTGGGGGCAGCAGGGACGACACAGAGGAGCGCTTGCAGGGGACGTGCAGCCCAGGGAGTGTCATCAGCGCCTCCTACGCTGCCGGCCTCGCCAAGGCCAGTGACAAGGACCCCGAGAGCCTGGACGATGCCCAGCCCGCCTCCGAGGTCGCACTGCCCACAGACGGTGCCTCCGACAGGCAGGAGCCCAAAGCCTCTACTTCCGACAAGTGCCTGGTACCCACCCCGGGTGCCCTGGGGGACGCAGCAAGGGGGTCCCAAGGAGTGGATGAGGCTGTGAGGGAGCAGGAGCCTGAGGCCGCAGGACCGCCGAGTCAGCCGGGAGAGACGGCCCCGGAGGAGGGTCAGCCCCTGTCGGGCTCCAGGTAACAGCTGCTTCTGGGCCAGGGGAGGGCTGTGCTCTGTCTGCATCTGGGACGTGTCATCTTGGCTGATTCTCCACCGAGGGCTTCTTGGCCACCGGCAGGTGCTGGGCCCGGGGCCAGGTGTGTGGTCTGTGTGTGTGAGGAGCTGAGGGGAGACTGGCGGGCTCACCCGACAGAAAGGAAGGCGGCCGATAAATGTACCCCAGGGAGCCCCACTTTCAGGAGATGTGGACTCGGTGCCAAGCCCCTAGACTGCCCTTCTACCATCACGGCCCATCGTGACCCTGGTGTGACCCCTGTGTGGGTGGACTGAGCAGGGTGAGTGGCCATAGCACTAGGGCCTCACCTGTTGCCCTGGGCCATATCCAAGCACACTGGTTACTTTTCTGCCAACCCTGTTGGCTTCTGGGCTCACACAGGGCTGAATCGAGGGCCCAGGCCCTGGAGCCGGCGTGGGATCGGAGACCACCCTCAGGCAAATCTTCTGGCATGTTCTGGGGGCAGTTCCCAGGGCTCCTGCCGCTCCCTGCAGTCAGAGTAGGTGGGGAGGGCTCTCCTCTCTTCTCCCAGCCCTCCCCCCAGGGCTGCCTTCCCTCTCTCCGCTCCTCACTCCGCGGATGTATCCAGAACACAGCAGTTAGCAAGCATCAGGCCAGCACCTTGTCCTTAATGCTGGAGACAGGAAGGAGAGGGAGGCGTGGCCCCACCTCTGATGCTCACACAGGGCTGTGGGCCCAGCAGGCAACTAACCTGTTTCCAGGACTGCCTTCCTGGTCGGGGTGGGCACGGGGCTCAGCCTGAAGTCGGGCCGGCCACAGAGCGGCAGCTTCGGGATGGGGTCGGAGTGAGACTGACGGGCCTGGGCGCCGCGTGGCTGCACACCGGAGGGAAGGGGTAACCGCCTCTGCCTGCGCCTGGGCCTCTCGGGGTAGCACGTGGCCGTGCTGGGCCCCGGTGGCTGTCGGGCACTCTGAGGCCTTGGCTGGGGCTGTGCAGCCCCTCCTGTGCCCCTGGCTGTGGGCTGGGCCCAGGCTCGGGCAGCCTCCCCCCGCCCCAATCCATGCAGAATCCCTCGATGCACGACCTTTTCTGTCGGATCCAGTCTCTGAGCATGGCTTTTTTTTTTTTTTTTTTTTTTTTTTTAACAGGCAGAGTGGACAGTGAGAGAGAGAGACAGAGAAAAAGGTCTTCCTTTGCCGTTGGTTCACCCTCCAATGGCCGCCGCGGCCGGTGCGCTGCGGCCGGCGCACCGCGCTGATCCGATGGCAGGAGCCAGGAGCCAGGTGCTTTTCCTGGTCTCCCATGGGGTGCAGGGCCCAAGCACCTGGGCCATCCTCCACTGCACTCCCTGGCCACAGCAGAGGGCTGGCCTGGAAGAGGGGCAACCGGGACAGAATCCGGCGCCCCGACCGGGACTAGAACCCGGTGTGCCGGCGCCGCTA